ATATACATCTCTCATTATTTAAAAGCTAATTTGATTTTTGTATGAACAATTTTCTATACTTAAAAAAACTAGTTCATTTGCAACCGATTTAAGTAAATTGCATTGAAGTCATTGAGGAAGTTAAGGACTGCAATCTTCTTTAGTAAGAAATTTTGTATAGAAGTCTTTGAGGAAATTTGGGAATGCAAATCTCTTGGTAAGTTCTATTGAAGTCCTGAAAGAAGTCGTGCACTGCAAACTTCCAATTTAAGTTGTCTTGAAATCTTTGAGTCACTCATGGTCTGCGGACTTCCACAGTAAATTGTATTGAATTCTACAAGGAGCTCTGGAACTACAAACTTTTTTAGTAAATTATGTTCAATTCTTTAGGGAAGTGTGATCTTCATCAGTAAATTTTATTAAAGTATTTGAGAAAGCATGGGACTGCAAATTGCTCCAATAAGTTGTATAGAAGTCTTTGAGGAAGTTTAAAAACACATATTTTTTGGTAAGTTGTTTTGAAGTCATTAAAGAACTCATGAACTGTGAACTCTACTGTAAATAGAATTGAAGTTTTTGAGGACGTCTGAGACTGCAAACCTCCTTAGTAAGTTAAATTGATATTTTTGAGGATATTTAGAAATCCAAATTCAAAGTCCCATTGAAATCTTTAAGAAACTAATGGATTGAAAACTTCTACTGTAAGTAGAATCGAAATCTTATATACTGATGTTATATACTGATCTTATACTGATGTTTTTGAGAAAGTTTTGGAATGCAGTTTTTTGGTAAGTTCTATTAAACTCTTTGAGAAACTGTAAAATTCTTTAATTTGTTGTTTTAAAATTTTTAACGAAGCTTAGGAATGCAAATTTTTTTATTAAGTTTTATTGAAGTATTTGTTATGTATACCACATACGAGTTTGACTTTTTTTCGTAAATTGAAACCGTCTTTAATTAAAAGCGGTTTATCATGCGATTTACCACAATTAAAATGCAAATCTTAAATAGCTGTCAAGTGCAAGGCTTTCATCCTGGAGTAGGTCATCTCTACAATACTATACACACGATACATAGATAACAAATGTTCGCCAAAACTCACCAAATCTGTCAAAATGTATGCAAAGTACGTAGCAAAGCCCTCATTAATCCAAGCGTACGTCCACCATTCGGGCGAAACTAAATTACCGAACCATTGATGTACAATTTCATGGTTCTGTGTTAGAATGTCCTTTAGTTTTTTATGTACATCAGCATCATTTTGATGTACCAACGTATCCTCTTTATAAGTAATTAAACCCCAATTTTCCATGGCAGCACCGTAGTTTTTGTTCAATGCAATGTGATCCAGTTTTGACAATGAATACTTAATGCCAAAGTAGTCCTCCAGCTGGGCTACCACACGCACAGCATTCTTCAGTGCATTGTGTCCTTTATCCTCTATTGTGGGCGAAGTAAAAATGCGTTGTGTTACATTACGATATTCTTCCGATATGTATTCGAAATTCGAGATGACAAATGCCACCAGATAAGTGGACATCGGCGGTGTAGGATAGAAACTTGTTGTAACCAAATTACTTTCACTGAAATTCAATTAAAAAACTTTAGAGTGACTTTAGATTTAGATAATTGCTTCACATACTCATGTCGTATCAACTGCCGCACCGGCATATTGGAGATGGACGTGTAGATATCGCTGTGTGTGAGGTGTATTGTAAAATTCGACTTGAATGCTGGTTCGTCATAGCATGGAAAGGCCAAACGTGCACTGGTCGGTTCACATTGTGTTGCTGCTTGGTAACTGCAAAACATAAATTTCAGAAATTTATTGCAAAACTCAAAGCAAAAATCTGTGAAAGGGAATCTCGCACAAAGGTGTGCTGGAAGTATCAATTAAACATGTGCGGTCAGTTGCTTTTTCAATTTGAAACCAAGATAAAAATGATTTGATCTTTGGAAATCACACATGTAATTCACATGAATATTTAAGAAAATACACAGCAATTGCAATTTGTTTACTTTATCATTAAAAACCCAAAACTTACGTACGTAAAAACCCACAACTATTTCGAATCTACTTAGAATTAGAAGAATAACATAGGTAGAAGAAAGAGTAAATGATGGGATTAGTGGATGGTTCAGTTCATTATTAAAAAAAAAATTAAAGTGAAGGTGTGGCCAAACAATATGTATTATTAATTAATTTCAGTGATTGCGTCACTGTTATTTGTTTTAAAAATAGTATTAAAAAAAATTAAGAATTTTAAAAAATTATATATTATTTAAAAAACTAATTATTTAAAAAATTAAAATTTTTTTTATTGTAATTATAAGTTATCTTAAATAAAATAAGTATTGTAAGTAATAGTTTTATTTTTTATATTATTGAAATTATTATAGAAATATTTATACTTTTATAAATGCTATTTACTACGTCACATACGTTATGATTTTTTTGGTTAAAATTTTCTAAATTTTAGCTTTTAGTATCCTGAGGCAGCAAAATTCCTCAAAAACCTACTGTGTGATGTGGTACTTGGTCTAGAAGTGACTGTGTCACCAGCTGAAAAACTAGATTCCTCAAGTAACTGTTGGTAGACAATTACATCCACAAAAACTTACTTTATTGTGTGGCAGTTAGTCTGGAAGTATCTGTCTCACCAGTATCTGCGCCGAAAAACTAAATTTTTTTAATATTATAAAATTAATATTTATATTTTTTTCTATATGGCTAAAAATAAAATTGGCGCTAAAACTCCCCGGTACTCGCGAAATCCTATTACCTCATACCACTGAGGTATATGTCGTTGTTATTTGACCTAATTGAACTTGATTTGAAAAACGTCGCGATTCATTATTCATTATAAGTGAGGCTTAAATGCTTCCACCCCATTTCTTCTACTCTACTGTCAAAGATGCTAATCGATTCGAATATTAAAAGTAGTGTTAATATAAATCATACACAAGTAAAATTAATAATTAGACTTGAATAACAAAATTACAAATATTATTATTTATATTTTGTGTGTTATACAAATATTTACTACAAAATAATAAATTACGAAAAAAACAAATAAATTTTTAAAAATAGATTAACCTCTATGATCTTCAAAAATATTAAATTTAATTAACAGATTTATAGTTTCCAACTAATTTTTCCATATTTGGCACTTTAACCGTTGCACTCGTCTCTAATCACACGATTTGTGGAAACCACCATTGATTTTATTTCAATTAAATATTTTAATTTAGACGACTAACTTTAATTGGTGGTTTTTTCTAATATCTCAAATTTATTAATTTAGTTTTTGTTGCTATTATTTTCACAATTCCAAAATAATCGTTAAAAAGCAGTTTTTACGTCAATTAACTGCTTTCAATTGCATATTTAATTAAATGCCACCGTCACTGTATCCCGAAAGTCATATGAAATATCTAAAAATCTTTTATTTTGATTTACGTTTATAATTAAATTTTTATTTTTAATATAAAACAATCTAAGTAAGTTTATTATATATTTTTCCCGCCTCGGAACACATTCGTACACGTCCAAACTTTCATTGATAAGAGCACGAGGTGTGCGCTATCTGTTACCGCGGCTATTGACAACATGCTGACATTTAATGTTGTTATTATTTAATGTTTGTTTTGGTTGATAATGCGATGCCACCGCTTTTGTGATAGCATTCGCAACGTCAGCGGCGGACAGACAGAGTCGCACACATTAAACACCAGTCAACCACCAGACCCACTATATCTGTCTGGTTCAAAGTGAACGCCTTGTTCTGTCTCTTATCAGTGATTTTTTTTACAATTTTTAAAATCAGAACTTTTTACTTTTAGCAACAAATTTCTTGGGTATGATTTTTTCTATGCGAGACCACATATATACACATACGTATATACATTCTCTCGAACGTTAATTACTTTCACAACAGACAGGGAATTTCCTCATTTAAAGAAACGAATGGGTCGCACTTTTGTTTTATTTTCACTTCGATAAAGCGAAGGCATTAATTATGGGGCGATTAGGCGCGCTTCATATACTCACACAGTTCGATTGTTTTGGTCGTTATAGGAAAACCAATAGAAGCCATAAGTTGTGCTATGTAAAAGCCCCTTGAAGAGGATTTGCACACGGTACAGTTGACCCGCCTCGAAGGCAACGTAACGTTGAATAGGATGTATAATCAAGAAGTGGCTGAATGGATCGTACGAGTGTGTTAGATCTGTAACCACATCGCCACTTGGTAACTCATAGACGATAATCTCGAAATCACTTAAATTCTTTGCATGCATGACAATCTCATTTGTGGACTCTCTAATCTCAATGTCAATGGTCACATTTCCGATATAGACAAAATCCTCTAAATGTATGCTTGTATTTATATGTAAGTCGTAATGTAATGGAAATGTGCTGTTTGGCAGACGCAGTGAACGTCTTGGTGTTTGTCGAGTTGTATTGTCTGTAGTTTTCAATAAGTTGGTTGGACGTAGCCCGGCAGAAAATCCAATAAAAATAATTAGAATAAGGACTGTGTTGCCGATAGTATGAAAATTTAGACGCGCACTACACATTGCTTTATAAATGTTTTATTAACAATTTTTTACTGCAAAGACGATTATGCCGTTTAACTGTAGAATGTTTAAAATATAAGCGAACCGCTCACGCACAGTACTAAGTCACAACTGACTGACTGCTGCGGTATTCCAGAACTCGACTGCTTGATTCATTTTGAATACCAAGAAGAATTTACGTGATACTTGTGAATTTCGCTGATAAGATAATGAATGGTTGGGATCTATTCCATTGAATGTATTAGGTGTAGTAAGAACCAAATGAAATTGAAATTTATATAATTATGTGTGATAAATTTGAGTAATTTGAGAATCATTATAGTCAAGAGCGACTATTTAAGAAAGGTAGAGCAACTCCGCTGTTTCATTCACAAGTTAAGATTTTTTCATGCTCTTCTGGCAATATTATTTTAGTTCTCTTTTAACTTTTGAGATTTTATTTAACAATATTTGTTTTTTTTAAATAAACAATTTACTTTTAATTTTTCACAACTTGGACGAGTAGTTACGTCTTGATAACGAATTATCAATTACTCGCATTTAAATGGCACTTGTTATTATTGAGGTCAACAATCTCTACGTTATAAAATAATGGGTCCATAATAATTAGGTTAATTATAAGATTTTTTTTAAAACACATTTTTAAACATAAATATGTACTTTATTACCAGTTTTTTACTTAAGTTCTTCAATTTAAAGAACGATGCGTAACTAATATATTAAATTTTAATATTGACTACTGAGTCAACATTAAATATATATTTTGAATATTGTAGATGAACTATATAATTTTACTGAAGACAATATATTTTTTCATAACAATTCAGTATTTTTATGATATCTTTAAGCAACTCCCTAAATGATGATATTACTAGCAGCATTCGAAAGAAAAACTGCGGAAGATCTATGGGCCTTACGCGTTGGAACACGGCATAGAATTAGTTGAAACAAAGAACCACATAAACTATAGCTCAGCTTTGACATAGATAAATCCATAACATTTCAGTGACACCGCTGGCTGGAAAGATATATGATTCCGTCCGCATTGCCTCCATCTTCGGTGGAAGTACCAAATAAGCAACGATATGAAGAAATTCAGTCCTTCCAACTGACGATAGAAAGAAAATGATCAGGCGGGCATGAGGACGCTAGTAGTTGCTACTTAGGACGACTCAATTCTGTAATGGCCAACTAAGAAATTAAGTAAGTTATAAGCATTGTGCTTCTCAATTGTGCAAATAAGAAGCATCATTTTTGATCTAAGTATTTAACAAACAAACATTACTGCTTATCATCTTGACCTCATATCGTATTGTCGCTTTATATTATGGATTCATTTTCCGATAAACCTGCAATCATTTTCGGATCATAAAGAAATTTTTGGTTACTTGTAGGATCAATATTATCTACATCATTCACATCTCTTTAGTTTCAGTTAAAGGATAGAACATATAATATTGGTGAGAAGAGCGCATTTATATACTAAGCTATACATATTACATTATCCATCTAGAAGCAGAAAAGAACTAACCAAGTGATAAGATAAGATTAGTCATGACTATACACTAATTACTTTAATTTCTGAATAGACAGTATGTCGTCAATTTACTGTTTTTCGGGGAAGCTCTCTGACTGATTCGGCGCTCTGCAAATAGCCGTAACTGTGAGAGTAGGGCGAAAGTGAAGAGCATTGCTTATCTGCTCTGTTACTGTCGGGTATTAAGGTTGTGCATTTATTTTATTGCAAATCTTGAGTTACAAAGAAAGATTAATCATAAAGAAGAACTATTGATAATATACATTAGTTAGGCAAACTATTCCAAATTTATTGCAAAAGCATACAAAAACGTGGAAGTGATCGGAACAAAACGTTGATATTTAAGAACCTATAATTTATCATACTTGCTTTTAAAATGTATAAACACGTTAAAAATAAATTTTAACATTAAGCAGAACATAATATATTTTCTTATATACATCTAATGAACTTGGTGACTGTATATTCCAGGCTTTTAGAGACTTAAACTAATTAATTATTTAATAAGAACATTTCGTTTTGTACTATAATTACTAATAAACATGAAAGTATGTAATGCAATAATTTATATAATTTCGTTGTCCTCTTCCCAAGCTTTTGCAATATCCTCACTTTTGAAATCACCTTTATCACTATTTTCATTAGCAGTCGAACCAATATCGTCTGGATTAATATAAAAGATTTCTTCACTATCAAAGGTTCCAGCTTCTTTTGCTCTTTGACATTGATCCAAGAAATTAATATACTGAAGAAAAAAGAAAGTTAATAAAAAGTTAAAAATAAAAAAAAGAAAAAGGAAAACAAAAAAAATAAAATAAAACTTTAACTGAAACTCACTTGTGTCTTAAACTGAGATGGCACAGTGCTTGCATCACAAAATAAGGTCTCACAAAGGACTACTGGACTACAAACAGTTGTCTTTAGCAACTCTGGCATTAGTTTATCTAATAAGTTAAAGCTCAACTCCATTTTGAAGCTATTACGAAAACGATTTCCAGCCAATGAACCGAGGAATTGCAATTTGTTCTCACATTGACTGTCGTTTGCTTTTATATAACTGGCTTCCTGCAACAATCTTTCAAATTGCGTAGGATTCTTTGTGCAAGTCAGGTATTTCCAATTATAATAACTATGATTCTCTGCCATGTAATAACTCAGCACCAATTCAAATTCATCATCTTCAAGTACTTTTGCACCATCACAAAGTTTTTCATTTATATCGTTAACAGGAATGGTTCCATTAATGGCACTCAGTATTTTTCTTTTAGATTCCATCAAACATTCTCTTAATTCCAAGTAGCAGGCTAATCCATCAAGATCGTTTAACATGAAATATTGGCTCAAATTCATAGTTAATTTATTTTGCTGTTTAATAGTTTTATAAATCGGTGCTAATAATTGCTGGCCTTCTTTCGATAGACGATACATAAGATCAATTGATGATGACCACACAAATGGATCCGTTTCTTTTTCTAAGTATTTTAAAAGTCGCAATATGATGATAGCATCAAAACTTTTTCCTCTAGTAATCCACTGCTCAATATCTTTAACAAGTAATGCTCGATTTCTTCTATGTATGATTTCGTGATTCTCAGAGAGCGCGAGCGCCAGTCTACGCATATTTTCGTCATCATATTGAGTTATATAAAATCCTTTACCTAATTTATTTACCAAGAACCAATCAGTTTCCTCCAATTTTATATTAAGGTCATTTAAGTTAATTGTTAGTTCCGGCACGGGTGGCATGAAAAAGTCTGCTGTAGCATCTTCAAAGTTAGGCTGAGAAGCAGTCGCAAAATTCAATGGAATCCACCAGTGCTCGTTTTGGCTGGGTACAATCGATGTTTGGCGTATAGTTATTGTGTTGTCAGTGTAATTTCTGCTAACAGTTACAAAAGGATAACTTTTACTATGTGTCCAAGTTTTCATGATCTCATGTATGCTATATTTCCATATATTATTTTGTTCCTGATAATAATCAATGAGCACATTTTGTAGTTCATCATATAGGTTGTCTTCGTTTGCTATGCCATATGAGCTATAAGAATGTGAAATAAGTTTAGGTTACACTTAATATCTGAGGGATATATTATTGAAGAACTTATAGGGTACTTACAATTTTTTTAAATATGCTGATATTCCTTTAGTAAAAATTTCTGGTTTAAGTGCATAATTAAACATTTGTATGATGCAAGGCGCTGAAAGAAATGTCTTCAATTAATTATTATATATCAATAAATAAGGAAAAAATTTCTATAATAAGTGTATATATGAATATTTGTAAAAGATATGGTGGCATATAAAAAAAATAAAAATAATAATATTATATTTTATGAAATACATAAGTAATCACTTTTAGTACAGGTGAGGATGAAAAAAAGAAGCTATCTTTAATTTTAAATATATAAATGTAATATATGATGATCAGAATAGCAATCTATTCAAAAATGTTTATATATAGTAGTGCACATTTAAAATATTTTATCAGAATATTAGTAATATAAACATTTGTCTCCAAATATATATTAATTATAATTACATCTACATCATAAATAAATATACTATTATCAAAAATGTTAGCCATTTTATGGTACCAAAACTAAACGTATGTAAAATGCTCCTATAACCAAAATTTTAATCAACTTTTTATTTTAATTTATTGTTTAGACCTTTTAAATGTCCTCTGTAGGACATTTTACATTACTGGGTCTTTTTAGAGTAATTTTCAGAAACTTATCAACACCATGCCACATTACAACTCTAATATATATATATATGATATATTATATTACATATTAAACTATTAAAATGATATATCTCTCATATCCACACCCCCAATATCATTATCAATATCGGGCCTATCACATCTTCAATCCCTTAGAATTCAGTGTATACGTACCATACAGTAGCATAAGAGGACTAAATAGATTATATGGAAAATGAATCCACTTAGATTTTTGTAGTAAGTTTTCATAACTATAAAACATTTAACAATTGTTAAACCATCAAACTATAAAAAAAGGGTCTTTTGAACAGGATATGTAATAACTTCGACATATGTCGATAAAAAATATAATATATATTTCACATATAAATATATTTCATCGTTACAATTTGGTAGCTCTGTCTACGACATGTGTCGAAGGCTATATATGTCCTATTTTAAATTTGTCATTTTCTTATAAAATATACGATGATGTAAATATATAAAATAATTAAGGTAAAATAGCTATATAATTTAATTCTGAAGTACTTACTATAAAAGTATTTTCTAATAGTTTAGATATTCTATTTAATAATATATATATGAATTTTTTTTTGCATAATTTTAATTTTAATTTGAATTTTAAATTAAATTTTAATTATGGTCTATATATAAAACTCTAGGTATTCTAAATATTCCGAGCAAAGTTATATATAGGACTATATTATATATAAACATATTATGTAAATGTTTCGATTTTTACTTAAAAATAAACCAGTAGAATCGCTGAAAATTGGTTTTAGAAAGACTTACCTTTATAGTAAACCACTCCACTGAAAGCCTGTTTAATATCCAAAGGTTTCTCAACATAATTTAACATCGGCTTATCAATTAAAATAAATAATGCTTCTCTGCAAATATTAATGTCGAAAGCATCCATTGCTTCATATTCAGGTGATATCTATATAAATGATTATAACGAACAATTAATAATATTTAAATAATAGAAGTTTCTTGAAATTTGAGATTTTAACAAGAATCCTATTGCTTTCTGCCGTACTTCGGAGCGGCTTAATACAACTTGTAATGAATATTAATTATAACCACATAATCAATAATTATAATGAATGTGTCATCAAATGATTAAAATGAAAAATTTAACGATATTTTAAAATAATAATGAAGTTTAGAATTTAATTATTAATTTACATAATTACCATATCAGTTAAAACGTAAGCGTAGTATGAAGCGAAGCCCTCATTTAACCAAATAGAATCCCACCACTGTGGTGAAACTAAATTTCCGAACCATTGATGCACTAATTCGTGATTTTGGGTATAATCGGCAGTAAACCTCTTTGCTATATCGGTTTCATTATCTTTCATAAATGCTTCTGTGCTATATGTAATAAGGCCCCAGTTTTCCATAGCCTTGCCATATGACTCTTTCACCAATGCGTGATCGAGTTTTGGTAGCACATAAGGTATATTCAGAAATTCACCAAACCTCTTCAATGCTTTCGCTGCATTTTGTAAGCCCTTATAACCACCAGCTTTCGAGTTTGGTGGGAAATAAATATTTTGCTTTACACCTCCTTCTGTGCTTGAGATATGCACATAATTTGAAATAACAAAAGCCAAAACATAGGTGGTCATTGGTGGGGTCTCCATAAATACAGTGGTGGTCATATTGTTGAAACTGCAAAGCAAAAAGAAATATTTTTATTATAATATTTTTGGGATTTCCATTAAAAATGTGTCTGCGCACCTGTCGACAATCAAGTCCTGTTGAGGCATATTGGAAATTGCCGTATAATTACTTCCGTGTGTAATACGTATATTGAAGTTGCTCTTAAAGCTTGGCTCATCGTAACAAGGTAGCACAGTCCGCGCATATATCGGCTCCAGTTGTGTGGAAGCACCTACACTGCATGAGATCAATATTATTGAAATGAGGAACATAATTCTGATAGTGAAACCACACAAACTCACATTGTTTGGTTGTTCTCGTCGGTGTATGTTAATTTGTGAAAGCCAGAATTGCCATTTCTGATAAGGCCAGTGTAAAGTATCTCAATGCTCAAACGCTGATGACGTAAAAATGTCGCTGAACTTGAATTCTGACTAATTATCAGTAAATCAGGAATAACAATAAATGTGGTATTTGCGTACAGCTCATTTGTTGCTAAATTTGTTATGGAAATATTTAAAATATTTAAATTTTGCGTATGCAGCACAATTTCGTCTGTATCGTTTTGAACTAATACTTCAATCGTGCAATTGCCCTGGTACTCAAAGATCTGGCGATGTATTTCAGTTGATATATGCAAATGATAGGAAAGTGGAAATGTTGTATTTGGTAGACGCCACGAGCGGTCCTTGTGTGACAACTTAACACGTTCCCAATGAAAAACATCATCGTCCCATTCAGCTATCATGAAAATAGAAGAACGTACGGGTTCATTCTCACTAGTTTCTGGCGCTTCAGTCTCGATCGCAATATCTGTCGTAATCGGAATATCTGTTGTAATCGCAACATCTGTTGTATTTGCACTAATCGTTGAAGTAAAAGTAAATGTTATTGCAATTATTATAAAAAAGTAATTAATTATTTTAATTAAAATCATTATTCTAAACACGCTTTGTAATCAGGTTTCCGCTCCGGTTCAATGCTACTTGAAAACTGCTCAATGGGTATAAAAATATTTTCAAAAACTTAAACTATGGAGATAAGAGGTATATTTTCTACTCTCTCTGAGTTCAAAATAGACAGAGAGGATCCGTCTTCAACAACTTAAGCATTGCGGATTACTTGGAATATAAATACATTTTGATATGAGTTTTGCAAGCAATACGACCAAAAAAAGGAAAAAAACAGTTTAAGTATTAACAGAAATATTTTTAAAACAAATATGTGAGAACACAAATGGATTAATTAAAATTCTTAAAAAACAAACGTCATAAATTGTTTGTTTTCCGTTTTTAGAATTTAAGTGATGTGAGGCACTCCGAATATGATTTAGTATCAAATATATCATTCTGAAATTCTAAGTGTAAATAAACCACAACAGAACTGTAGTGTGGGGAACTTCTTAAAAAATTTTAATCTTCCGTTTTAAAAATAATTTCTATAAGTGTATTTGCATTTCACTCAGTCAACTGTTGAGTATTTATATTTGTAATTATTGATATTAGATAATAATTACTAGTAATGCAATAGGCCCGAAACAAAATAAACTTGTGCTATATGAATGCCTGGCTTTATAAGAGACACAAATAAATTGTTCTGCCATGATCCAAAGTCATAATTTGATGGACTTAATCAATCAGAAGTGTATCCCAATTCCTAAATGCGTAAGAGAAGTAAATATTGAGTGGTAATGAAACACTAACTTAGTGGTAATGAAACACGGTGTTGAATGAACTCACGCACAAATAATCTTTAATATGACTATAACTCCATTAACTATATTATTTACTAAAGAGCCGCGGGTTACTACGTAACATCTTAGTCCTAACTAGTTTGAATCTGGTTCAATCTGAAGAATGTCTTATATTTTAATTTTAAATAACTTCTTTCTTTTTCTCTTAGTTTTGTTTTCACTACTGAGTTCTTGAACAACATCGATTCTGTTGAACCTCACCCTATTAAGTCCATATCTGCATATATTATTGCATATGTAGCATGCTTCTGATATTTCTTTCTCTTTTTTATTTTAAATACCATATCAAATTGCAATACCGAAAAAAGAAGATTATTTTAATAAGAATGATATACCACCAAACATTTATAGTCTCTCCTATATTAAATAGATAAATAACTTTTTTGTTGTACATATATTTATCATTTCACTTTCAATATTTCATTGTTGTTTTTAAAAAAAATTTTTTGGAAAGATTATAATAATATTAAATAAAGTTCAAACTTATTGTATATTAAAATGATTTTAATTATTTTTTAAACATAACACTTTTTCTAATCTTAGAGGAACTTAAAATGAGAGTCTAAAGTTTTGGGATGAAATGTGTCCATCTGGAAACATAAGAGCACCATATTAAAAATAAGAAATATGTAAAGGGAAAATGTGTCTCTGTGCTAAATTTTAATATTTACTTATATATTGCATGCTAATAAATGTATTCACGCATTAAGTGTGATTGAACTGACTGAGTCTTAGGGTAATGCCTAGATCTCTATGTGTTCAGTGACATTATGTATAACTATACTATACATATAACTAGATATTATCACAATTGATTCAGTTGATTTTGCAACATGATCAAGAGATCCCATACACCTTTTTTATGGAGTAGAGTATTTCAAAAAGTCTGATTTTATTGTTAAATTATTGTATTAATCTAAGTCAAGATGTAGCTGAAAATATAATCTCATATTTGATATCCATCTAGACATTTCTACTTTGAATCAGATTTAAGACCTCGTTCTCCTTTTTAGGAAAATATATATTTTGTGAAATCGTTTTAAGAACAAAAAACTACTTACTTACAAAACTGTGTTTCATGAATAGGAACAAATCTTATATTTATTTGCTTAGTTATTACATATCACTAGATGTAAGTATATAATTGTATTTAAAAACAATATTGAAATTTTTCCCATTCTTAAATTTCAAGAATTTAACAACATAAATTGTAATATATATAACATCTAAAAACCGCATTGGGGTTTTCTATCAAAATTTTGTTTTATTAAAGAGACGAACTTTTTTCTTTGGGTGTATGCAAATATAGAGTTTTCTGCAATTTTCATATTTTTATTGTAAAAATATATTTTTTTGAAAAACCCAGTGAGTGATAATGGGTCGGTGACACATACTTTCTAAAATATTAAAAATAAATAAAAACAAAAATTAACTATGACATATTGTATACGTAATTAATTTTATTTACTACGATATATATATATATATATATATATATATATATATATATATATATTTCTGCAAACTGTTGAATTATTCACTTGCGTCGCTCGATTTGATAAAAGATGATAAACACTTTTTAATGAGTCAATAGAAATTCATTAGTTAATGATGTACTTAGAATATGAAATTATAAAATCATGCATAGATAAAATATAAATAATAATAAATAAAATGACAGGCAAAAAAAAAAACGGCACTGGTTAATTTAGACATCAAAACACCCTACAATCAAGCGTTGGTTAAATATTCGGTAATAAAGATAAAATTATTTGAAAAAATATATTAGAAAATGCCAAAATGTATTAATAGACATTCTTTATTTAATATAATCTGTCTAAACTAATTGACAAGAAAATTACTATTGACAAAATTAATACCATATATAAAATTATTTTAATATATAATAAAATTTCGCATTGAAATTTAATTAGATATAATTTATTGATTTTCGTTGTAGATTATATATGTATTTTACCATATAGCAGGTATTATTAGAAATCTCTTAAAGTTTTCATAAATAAAAATAAAAAATAATATTCCATTTTAAATCTCTAATAAATTAAATAAATGCAATAATAATTTACATATATATTTGTACATAGTTCTTATCAATATTGAGAAACTCTAAAGAAAACAGGGAACTAAGTATGGTATTTGTAAATAATACTATTGGTCCCCGTTTCATTACAGATTTATTCAAATTATCACCTTTTGAAGCTATAGATTTGTCAAATTGGTTTCCTTTTATTTGAATTGTGTTCTCCTAACTCTTAAGAGTAGACATTCATGTGCCAGATATTTGGGTCTTCTATCTTTAAAGTGATTCGCTAGATCTGGTATATCGACATTTTTTGTGTTTAAGTAAGTTTTTGACTACCACTTCAATCTAACCTATTCTCTTCAAGAGTAGTACAGTAGCTTACTGTGATATCCACTTATATATGTGACAATGCAATAGCAACCTACCTCCCAAAAATATCTGCTTTCTTGGGCATGGAAAGAAAGCCCATTTGGATGCAACTGTTTATAAGAATATATTAATTTTTCTAAAGAGCGTAAGTAAAAATATTCGTTTTATGACCTATATTGAAATATATATATGAAATATTGATTATGAAATCACTTTGTCGCTTTAAAGTTAATAGTTTTAATATCTATGTTAATAATATTGAACAGATATTTGAGATAGGTGGATCTTAGATGGGATAAACACTTTTTGGTGAATGTTGTGCAATAATAGATCAATTACTCACACTTTTTCTTCTTCTTCTTCTGACCTGTAGTATAGCACTATTCGTTGAAAGCGCTAAATGGTCAGCATGATATATCTTTTTATTCTACTTTCGACTTAAGATCACAATTAAATACAAATTTAAATAATATATAATAAATAATATTCGCCAAAATAATTTCAGTGCAGTTTTCAGTAATCAATTGTTAAATATAAATAATATGGAATTTACAAAAGAAAAATAATTTGTTTGTTTTAAGAAACATTAAGTTGAAATTCCCCTGTAACTGCAATATTTGAAGAATATCATAATAACAAATAAAACCCATTATGTTCGACTAATGGGTACGTCTTCAATATGTATTTCATTTTGAGTGAATTTTTTATTGGGAAAAAAATTTTGTTTTTATTTATAATGAAATATTTTTTTTAATTTGTTTATACTGTTTTTGGAAATAAAAAACTAAAAATATTTGTTTTCAGATATAAATATTAACATTAATATATTTGAAAGGTATATAAAAAACCTGAAAATTATTTACAATACTAAGAACTAGTAACAAAAATACTTAAACTAGATAAAAATAAAAAGAAAATAAAACTTTAGGGTGTCCCAATTGAACTGTAACTAATTTTAATCGGGTACAGCTTTCAAACTGGTGGGGAAGCTGCATCTACATTTTGCTTAATGGCATCTGATTTATTGTTTACAGAAGCGGAAATATTTTCATCTAAGTTAAGTGGTGACATTTTTAACTTTAAAAGAATTTAAATGTTATAGTGTGATGTCACTGTATAAAAGTTAAAAGCCACAAAAGGCTTTTGCCAGTGCCATCGAACGCTTCTATGGGAATATATCATTCATGTTTTGACCCCTAGTACATTACAAAAAAACTAACAGTGTTGAAAAATACTATAATATGGTAGTAGTTAAAAAAGCAACTGATTTTGCAGCAGAAGTATTATTCGCGAATTAAATAAAATTTAAGCTGATATGAAAGATAATTACCATTTATTTTCCAACTATCAAATGAATACTCAAATGATCAGAAAAGAACTCTTAAAAAAAAACACCCCCAGAACAACACTTATCCTCCAATAAAAAATGGTTCTACTCTATTATATATCTTCCACCTAGGGAGGAATACTCAAAAATGAACTGAAATGAAATCTTTCAAATAAATAAAATAAAATCTTACAAAAAATAACTTCATAATGATATTTATCTTTTAACTATGAATGGAATACTTAGAAATTAACTTCTAAAGAACTCTTTTACAAATTTTAAATAATTTACTAAATTAAAAATAATAACTAGGCTACGTGATATAGAAGAAGTATTGCGTATGCTCGATTGTTGTCTTCTCTGATGAAACAGATTTCCCAACTGAGCAATTCATAAACAAACAAAAGAAACGAATTTAGACTTTACTAATGAAAAGTAGTATTTAATGCACTAATATTCATATGATCAAGAAAATCTTACTTTATGACTGAATGAAGCTTCAGCAAACTCACTTGGCCCGGGTTGAGACTAATTTATTGACCGATTTAGAACCACACTAAACGTTAGGAAACGACTACTTCATTTCTTGACTAAGTATATAATATTTTGACTAGTATTGTACTTTTTATAACGTCTAATTTTTTTCACCTATCAAAATCATTTTTTAAAAATATTTAGAATCGTGTCATTTTCTAGGACTAAGAATTAATTACCCGGATTGCGACTGATTTATTGACCTATTTAGATGCACACTAAACGTTAGGAAACGTACACAGCATTTCTTGATTAAGTCTATAATATTTTGACTCCTTTTGTACTTCTTATAGTATCTAACTTTTTTTAACCTTCACAATTTATTTTTAAAAATATTTAGAATGTCATTTTCTAGGACTAAGATCTAGTTACTCCTTACATTTCCCTCTTTTTAATGGGTTCTTTTGTGATGTTAAGGTATGTTGATGTACCAAAGACACAAAATAGTGTAGTTTTGCTCAATTACTTTTAAATGTATGGGCTGCCATTTACTTGTACTAAAGTTATCTATGCTCTAGAAACCTAATTACATGTTCTTCAAAATTTCTTATCTCTTAGATATTGGAGGTAAAGCGACTACTGGGAAATACAACATCCAAACTTTGTTATCAGTCAATACCTTTCAACACTAAAATAATCAAAAAATAGTATGTACACTTTTACGCTAGGCAACCCTGCCAATTGTAGTAGCTTCTCAAATAAATTCTGTTGTTTTTATGTTCAACAGTTGATCTTGAATTTTTGAACTGCAAAGATGTTTTTACTGCGAGCAAGTTTCTACCGCCAGATACTCAGTTTGTTGTTGCTGATATTTGTTGTTGTCCAGGGGCAAAAATATGCACAGAAGCGTTGTGCGGAACTGACCGAATATGTAATTAAAAATAATATAACAAATTAAGCGATAATAAAATAAATTACGATTTCTTATTTATTTTGTAAATAAAATTGTTTATTCGTTCAGTGTCAAGTGGACTGGGATTGCTGTTCCAATCGCTGTATGAGTTATCTTTATCGCTGCACCAGAAATTACACAAAGCAAAATAATTATATACACTTCGAAGTACCCAGCCAAAATCCAACATCATATGCAACTCTTGATGAAATTCTAGCATCCAATTTTGACAATGACAATGACAATGTCTTTGAGCAAATTGACGTGAGAGTTGGTAATGCAAAAGCACAAGAAAAAAACAGTCGTGGTTTACAATATGACAACCGGTTTAATCAACGAAAGGAATATGCACCAATATCAACAACAAGTCCATTTATTTATAGAATTGTGAAGTCCAATGAGGGCACAACGGCTACATCAAATACTTATCCAGGTGCAATGACATCAAATCCAATCGGTCCACAGTATAGCCCTACTTGCAAAGAAATTGGCTCAAAGGTAAGATAAAATTTATTTTTATGTATATTTTTCATTTTTATTATTTTTGTTTATTTAATATAATTTCTCATTTATTTTATTATATATTTCAGTGTTATAGAAATGATGAATGCTGCACTCAACGTTGCCATGACTATTTGCACAAGTGCGTCACATAGGAGCAGCCGGTCAAGACAAATGCTATAATCACTTTGGAACTTGCATGAACACTTTATATATCATAAGGCAGATTTTAATTTATTTATTAATATCGCACATATTTATTTATATCTGTATTTATATTTGCAAAATTAATTGCTGCAATTAATTACTAAGAAGACAATAAAATATTGTGTATTTTTTGGTTATACAATCGTCGTTTAGCCGTGAAAACCACAATTTATAATAAGGAGGAGATGATTTTATAATAAAATAAGTTTTCATTTAAAATTAATAAAACTGTTGTTCTCAGTATTTATACGATTCTATATATTAAAATTTTAAACCCATTAAAAAAATTATTGACTACATACCATGTTATTGTATAATTGCTGCGAAGACTATAAAATATGTACACATCAAATACAATTACAGATTAATTCATATGGAATCCACTGCATACTAATTAACGCTGCTTTCAATAGCATCATTTGGTGTTTATATTGGAAAAATAAAACAAAAATAAACCCAACATTCCGCAGATATATATACGCCTCATCAAAGTACGTAAAATAAATTATTTTGATGCGATAAAATCCATAATATAATTGCGCAGATTCATCCCACACTGTTGATGCCGCTGCGGTTCTTGATTCATCACTGAAGTAAACAAAACCAGTTGGAAATGAGATTGCATATATTTAAATAGCCCAGGCCAAGTGGTCTTACATTTCAATGGTGGTTCGTTAATTTACAAGTTCAGCATATACGAATTGAAAGTAATCAAATTATGCAAAAATACGCAGAACATCTGACATTTATTAAATAACGCAAGTTTTATAAATTTTAACTCATTTAGCAACAATTTAATTTTAAAGTGTTATATGTAATAGTACTTACGAGACTAGGTATACTTACGAATTTAAACTATAGATTCTGAGAAGAGATTGAGGAGTCAACCACACATGTCTTATTAGAATGCCCTGTACTAATGCACATACGGAGTACGTACCTGGAAATGTACATTCTTATGGAAGTGGCAATAAAACTCTGTAAAGTAGGTTCTATACTACTTTTTCTTTTTTTTTCTTAATGCTTTCTTTAAACTGTCTACTCTGTCGATACTTAGATACTATGTCATACCATGTTAGTCTAATAAAAAACGCATTTAGTCATCGATTATTCCAAATTGAAGCCCAGCTTATTAGATATACCTGTACTGCCTTTTTGTATTGAAAGACTAAACCAATTTAGTCTTGATTATTATCCCAGTCTCTGCAGCAGCCTAAACGCAGTGAACCCAAACTCTCTAAAAGCAGGTCTAGAATTTAGTATGTGCAGAAGTTATATCGTAAGCAGTGGAGGGTTGTATCTAGTACTTCCAGTTGAATAAATACTCAATCTCAATATTCAATCAACAATATATTTCGAAAGTATGATGCCAAACAAAAGAAAGAATTGCCCAAGATAACACTATTTAACGGAAATAAATCATGAAAGATTACCATTGCAATCCAGTCATTACCATTGCAATCCAGGATATAGGGTTGTATCTAATACTTCCAGTTGATTAAATACTGACCGAATAAAATTCTTCAATCAAAAATTATTCAATCAACAATATATCTCGAAAGTATGAAGCCAAACAAAAGAAAGAATTGCCAAAGGTAACTTTATTTAACAGAAATAAATCATGGAAGATTACTATTGCAATTCAGTCAAAAATTTTAGCTTTCATAAATTAAAGAATACAAATAATCTCACGCATTAAGTATCATAAGAATATAACCACTACATAATGCTATCCCACAATGAACAAGAAAAAAGTGTGTACCATTATATTTGCTCATATTTGGGAGGTGTAAGAATTAACAATTCTAAGTTGGTTATTTTTCAAATTTACGATAGAGATGATTTTTATACCCATCGATTTATATTAAGATTTGCTGAATACATTAATACCACTTTCCGTTACTTAGGGAACTTAAACATCTTCTGAATTACCTGAATCCATTGCAAATACTTAATCAAAAATTTCTTTCAATATACCTTTTAAAAAAATTGGTATCATTATGTCAAATATCTATCTGACTTTTTTCCAGGCAATGCTTTATTTTTTTTTAATACTATTGTGATATAATTTATATAAAAATTACCTTTTCTTACTAATCTGAAATCGATTCCACTTTTCTCAAATAAATAGATGTTTAAAATTTGTTGGCCCCACATTCACTGACCAACACTTAATCCAAGAACAAAATCATCTTTGTCCGTTTTCTTCAAGATATCATTCTACTCAAAGAGCTTCAGCAGTATACTGAAAGCAGTCGTAAGTACAAAATATATATCTAGTTCAGAGATGGATTCCTTTAGGTACTAGGCCAATGCCTGATTAAACTTTTTTTTTTTAAACCGATTTAATTTTATTTACATCAACCACTTAATTTTGAAATACAATCTTCTTGTTCTTGTCTCGTGTAATTTTTTCCGACTTGACTTTGTAATTAAAATAATTAACATAATGACTTAATTAAGTTGTTAATAATTAATTGCATTGTTAATTTGACATTAAAAAAGCAATTAATAATATTAAATGAAAATATTATTTTGATGTGCTTGACAGAATTCACTTAAAACAAATGTTCTGGAAAATACGTTAAATTGTTTATAATAATTTAAAGCGATATATATTTATATATTGATAACATAATACATATTGAAGTTGTCTTATATTCTTATATATATTTACAATTCTTCTCCGAATTTAATGACTAAATTTCATTTTATCAAATTTTCAGTAAACAATTATTTTGAAATGTTAAAATCATATTTATTTTTTATAATAATTTCGATTCTAGGGTAACATGCTTATTGAGAACCCTTTGAAATATTTTAATGATCTAAAAAAAGAAATTTTAAATGAATCTTAAATAATTAAAAAATAATTTATGGTGTAAGTGTTATTGTTATTCCATTTGTATTGAAATAAAGAAATGAACTCATATTGCAAGAGATGTGATCTCGAATCCCATATGACATAGAGCATCCAGATTCATTGCTTTATGAATTATGGAAAATGTGATTTAATAGAAGTGACGACCTTTTTGTATAATTAGTTTCAAACCACAATATACCTCTCCAGAATATGTAACATGAAATAAATATTTCCGTTTAAAAACTTGAGCACTCTGTAGGTATTACCGGCTACTGGCCAACATGTACTAATACAATAACAAGCCATTTCTATAGCAAAATAGTTAATTTTATTAACACTATATACCCATATTTTATGTAACTAAATAGTTTTTAATTTCATATATAAAAAGCTGCTAGAATTTAATGTTTGCTTCATTTGTGACAAAATAAAACCAGGGTATCTTAACTATATTTAACATACATATATACTCTATTATATACCGCATTGTATACGCAGGTTGTTTCTTAAAAAATTCCTTTCTCAAAAAAACGGATAATACCATATGTCAGAGACATGTCATAATTGTCAAACAATTACAGAGATATAGTGCAGAAAATGAAAGCCTACTGAGCGAAAAGCGTACATTGAAAACATAATTTAATACATACATCGAGCTTAAGGTATTATACACTCCTCCCGAATTACATGTAATATTTCATTGTGATTTTTAATGATAACGTGTCCAATAATTTAATCCAATTTTAAGTTTAATTTAACTTTTCATTTTCTACGATCAAAGTATTATCGCAACTAAAGTATGCTCGATTAACAAACTTTAGTTAAAAACCCGTAACATTTTAGAGGAGTCTCTATACCACTTTTTATACCAATTTTTATTCCATTAAATATCTTTTAAGTCGCTATATAATATATTTCTAAGTTTATTATATTTCTACTTTCTTTTTCTTTCAACTTTCTTAGAAATATTTTTATTTTGTCATCAACACCTCAGTAATTTGTATTTTCCTTCTATCATGCACCGTTTTCCTATATATGCTCTTCATCTAACAGTCTGTATCTTTTGATGTTAAAGAACCATACTTACATTGTGACCGAAAGGTTTTCGGAGGTTCTCATTTAAAATTCGCGCGCTGTATATTTTTCGATATTTTAAGTTTATGTAGTTTGGCAGCACTGTCCTTAATTACTATGCCAAAATGAGCGCGATCTGTCGGACAGTTCGTTTACGGCAGCTGTTGAAACCAGTTCACCTCAGTAGTGCGTTGCGAAAAAAACAATGGAAAAAAATATTGAACAAAGAGTTTGCATCAAATTTTGTTTTTCGAACGAAATTTCGTGTGCAGAATCGTTGCGAATGCTACAAAAGGCTTATGGGGAATCAGTTTTATCGAAAACTCAAGTTTATGAGTGGTACAAAGCCTTTCAGGACTGTCGTACGACCGTCGAAGACATGCCGCGTTCTGGACGACCTTCGACCTCTACCACCGACGAAAACATTGAAAAGGCAAAGGAAATCGTGTTCAAAAATCCTCATGTGAGTGTTAGAGAGATAGCACGAGAGCTAGGCATCGGTCGTGAGATGGCTCGTTTGATTTTGGTGGACAATTTGTGTATGCGACGTGTCAACGCCCGGCTTGTTCCGATTCACCTCAATTTGTTCAACATTATCAACGATTTTAAGGCCAAACATTCAATAAATACCATCGAACAGCCACCGTATTCACCTGATCTTGCACCGTGTGACTTTTTCCTGTTTCCCAACCTCAAATTACCACTCAGAGGAACGCGTTTTGAATCCATAGAAGACGTAAAACAGAATTCGCAGAGGGAACTCAAAGCCATACCGGAAAGCGCCTATAAAAAATGTTTTGATGATTGGAAGAAACGTGGCATTTGTGTATCGCTTCTAATGGAGCATATTTTGAAGGAGATAAAATAAATATTGATGAAGATTAAGAATTTTGCGTTTTATTTATTTATGACCGGAAACTTTTCGGTCACAATGTATTACTAAATTGTTATTATGTACTATAAACTATATTAGTTCTTCATTAAATTGTTACAATGATAACGTAATATTTAACTATATTTGTCTGTTCTCCACATACCTATGTGCTGTGAAACCCTTCTGAGAAAATCGGATTGATTCACTGTGAATATGTAACACAATTTTCTTAAAATAAAAATAAACAAATAATTTTGCAATATTGTCATTTTCAAAATAAACAAAAAATAACAAAATATTTTTAAGTAAAACAAAATGTTTTATCTACAAAAAATCGTGTCAACATATATAGGCTATCTTTCGAGGTTA